CACACACACACACACACACACACACACACACACACACGTTGGTATACCTTAATGACGAGGATCTTTTCCTTGGTCTGTTGTTGGAAGAGCATGGCCTCCTCTGTCTGTAGCTGGACCCTCTCCAGAGCCACAGACAGTTTATCCTGTTGGTGAGCAGAAGAAATAGACAATCACATGTGAAACAGGGTTTAAAAGCTCTGTAAACTAGATTATACTTAAACGAGGAGTTAATTTGATCTGTGCCGCTCGGAACAACAACAACAACAACATCATCTTTAATGGGACTCATATGATTCTGACCCCGGCTGAATGGGAATTCACCGCCCTGGGAAACATGTCAAAGAGACACATAGAGGCCTCAGACAGTGTGTGATGATGGTCACAGTGTGGGGAGGTTTTCAGAGCTCACACTGACCTGCTGAATTCCTCCAAAACACAAAAATGCTTAGAGGCCGCAGTGGAAAACACAGAGTCTGCTCTCAAAAACAACTTCCATGTCATAAATCACGCTCAGTGAAAGTAACATCTGTTAACACCAGAGCAGTCGTAGATGCAAATACTATAAAAAGTCAAGAGGAAACTGCAGCTGTGATTTGACTTTTAGGAGTTTTTGACAAACTTCACCATTTTTTCCATGAACAGAGAGAGGGAGGTTACGTGACTAATCTGTAAAGCTCCAGTTGTTAACAAATATCAGAAATGAATAAAATAAAGATAGAGAATAAGTTTTGTTCTACTGGAACGATCACTCACTGTGGTCCCATAATAACATCTGCATTCATCATCTGATCTGAGAAAGTGGTCTGGTGTAAGGTTTTGGTGGTTCACAGACTAGGAAGCTGACATTTCCTGTGTTAGACACCTTGTGTTTAAAATGTGAGAAGAGAGGAACGTGTCCATGAGACAGAGGCCTACCTTGTAGTTTTCAAAGGCCTCAGTAATGGGAATGACATTGTGGGTCTTGTGGTCCCGGGACATGCCGCACACCAGGCAGATGGGGAGCTGGTCGTCCTCACAGTAGAGCTTCAGCTTCTCCTCATGCTCCTCGCACATATCCATGCCCAGTCGCGGCCAGTGCCCTATGGAGGAGGCCACGCTGCTCATGCTGGACCCGGGCTCCCGTTCCTCCGGCTCCTCCAGGGAGCGCTCCGGGTCCCACCCAGGTATCCCCGCGACCGCGTCCATGGCGCTGGCTCTGCGCACACTGTCCACGACGTTGCACAGGAGCGAGTTGGGCCGCAGCTTGCGTGAACAAGACTTTCTGCACTTGGGACAGCTCGACAGCTCGTCCGCTTTGGCCTCCCAGCACTGGATGATGCACACCTTGCAGAAGTGGTGTCCGCAGTCGAGGATCACCGGTTCCCGGAACAGCTCCAAACACACCGGGCAGGTCAGCTCCGACTGGAGTTCGTCAAGCGCGTTGGGCTCCGCCATTCTCAGCAGAGCGCATAGTCCTGAGATTCGAGAAAAAAAAAACAACGTCTGATTGCAACTGAGGACAAGTAAAGACTAGACCGCAGCTCTTCCGTTCTCACACAGAGAGGGAGTGGTCTGAGGCTGACAGCGGAGACGGAAGAGACGGAGGAGACGCGCAGTCTCCAGTCACCTGTCTGCTGAACGAGCTGCAGCTCCGGGCCAGGACGCACGGTCTGTGCCCGCAGCCAAACTCAAAGAGAAGCTCAACAGGCGGCCACAGTTGTTTTGGGCGGCTGTGGCTCAGAAGGTAGGACAGCTCGTCCACTCCCCAGATGGTTTTTGGTTCAATTCCTGGTTCCTCCAGTTTGAATTTGGACCAGACACTGAACCCCAAAATACACAGTATATTATTATGTATATTCATATAATATATATATAATATACATTCATACTGTGTATGAATATATGGGTGAATATCTGGTGTCTAGAAAAGTGCTAGATGAAATATATGTTATATCACCCTAATGAAGAAACACGGAGAGCCCTACAGCATTATTAACTTTCACCCACTTTAATGAAAAGACTTAATTAAAAATATGAAGAACACTCATAAGCACAGCCTGGCCTATATGGATTAATATCGCAAATACATTCATACTGTGTATGAATATATGGGTGAATATCTGGTGTCTAGAAAAGTGCTAGATGAAATATATGTTATATCACCCTAATGAAGAAACA